ACTCTGGTCACGGATTCATCGATTCCTTTGATGCACCATGATCCGAGTGATCTTGGATCACTGATCCTGATCCAGATCACCCCAAAGGAACGCACCCTTAAACAACCTACGAACAAAATGGAATTCTAACTAGAATCGTTTCCAAAGCCAAAATGTTAAAAAAAAAAAGATTTGCTATCACATGTAAACTAAATTCATGGCAATAGTGTGGAGAGAGCTAAAAATGAAACATTTCATTCTAGACAAAAAGCAACATAAAGGCAAAACTTACCGTTTTCTACATTGCAAAGTAGTCTCGAAAAAAACGTTAACAATACTAAGACCGTCTTCCTAAGACACATTTTAAGCTTTATAACCAACTTAACAAATTAACGCGTTTCTCCTTTATTACACACAGTTCCTTGCGGTGTCAATGCAGTGTTTGTTTAGCTTCCAAAAGCAAAGTTTCATCTGTACGTGTCCGGAAATGTATGTCCCGTGTATATATCTTTATTTTTGTGACAGATAACAAAGGAATCTTTCAAACTTGTTATCTTTCTCCCACTCCTAGCGAATATTAAATAATCTTGACTTCGCTCAGTCATACTCTTACTGGGAGAACACTTCTCATGTCTCAGGGATGTGTCACACTCTTTGTTTCTCCGCGGCGGTGAAATTTAAACAAAAGGCGAAATGATTACAAAATAAAGTCAGAAAATACAAAAGATCATAAACATCAGCCTCCCGAAAAGAGGTTTCAACTCTCGCAAAGCAAATATGAGACTTCAGAAGTTGGTTTTACTTACTTTCATTAAAACCCACCATTTTTTCATAAACGGAACGGTATTTTTCTGTCACCGCTGAAATCAGTCGAGAACCCTCATTTATAGGAAATCCTTCTTATTTTCTGAGTTAAGATTTCTATGAAAGTAACTATAGGTTTGCAAATTGAAATTAATCACCTTTTGAAAAAATCTGTCTGTGTTTGCAGGTTCTCTAGATGTCTACGTATAGACGCGGGGCAAACATAAACTGTTTAAAAAACATGTATAATTTTAGCCTTAGTGCTAATAACTCAAAAACAAGGTCGGCCACTTCCGTTTCTATTATTGAATTGTAATTAGCATGTTAAGGTGCGGCTTTTTGCAAACATTAATATAGAAAACTTTAAGCGTACATTGACAACGTTGTTCAGAACCAGTCAACCGACACTGATATATAGATTTACATGTAAGAATCAGGTTTGAAAAAGAGTAGGAAAAATAGCGTTGTTTGGTTTTAAAGTGTCGACGAGCCGCACACACCCACCCAAATGTTCTTGGAACACTCCCTTCCGGAAGATAGCCGACTTTGTTAGCGCGAGATGGCAAAACGCCATTACAACCAGGTTGAAGAGTTGTAGCAGTGCGATAGAATTGTTCGTTCTTGCAGCTTTCCTCAGTTCAGGGTTAGCCATGAGAGGAATTCTCGCGCGTTTTGCCTTCGCGTGCAAACAAACTCAAGTTATTATTATTTGTAAAAATGCTTAATGGCTGACTACCTAACTACCTTTAAATTTCCTGCCAGGAGGTACGAAGAGGCAGGGATCGATATGGGCTATATAGGTAT